TCTAATTTCTAACTTTTTGTCTACTGTGCTCTTTTCATAGAATTCTGCTTTTACAATTCTGATTTTTAATCTTTTGTCTACTGTGCTCTTTTCATAGAATTCTGCCTTTTAATCTTTTGTCTGCTCTACTCTTTTCATAGAATTCTGTTCATAGGATTCTCTTTCGTAGAATTCTGCTGTTTCATAGTCTTCTCTGAATTATTCCGGCCAACGAGGTCTAGGTTATCGTTTGAACACCAGCCGCTGGAAATTGTTTTCCCCAGATATCGTCCGGACTGGAAATTAAATGTTAATCACATGCAATTACCAGCCGTGCCTGTTATCAATCAAAGTGAGTCGAAAAACGTGGGGGAAAAGAATCGTAAGAGGAGTCGGAAACCGTGAATCATCAAGAATTTAATCAATGGACATACGTATAGAACAGTGATTGCGCAACGTGATTCAAATTCCTTTTTCCATTCCATTGCTTTTTTTCCCTAACAGAAGAATAGTTTGTTCACGATAAAAAGCCGACTTAATCTTATTTCCAGTTCCTTTTATCTGATTATGAGATTTCATACGTCCAATTATACTAGCCCGTTGATCGAATGAAGAAGAAGAATAAAAAAGAAGGAGTTCATGGATATCTAATAAACTATTATCACAACTTAGATTCAGTCTTAAACCTGAAGAAACAAACCCGATTTTACGATTGAAAATCGTGTAACCGAATTAAATTATTTTTTGTTTGTTTTTTTCTTTTAAACAGTTTAGTAATATTTAATTAATCTTTCAATTTCATTATCACCTTTCTTTTGATTAGTATACTTAAATAAATAGTATTTTCATGATATAAATGAAAGGTAGTTTGCTTAGATGTGGGGAGGGGGCACTAAAACAGGGGTGTTTTTTTTCCCTCCCTTGTATTATTAGAATACAAGAACGTCAAATTCAATTCTGAGTATATACACTTAGTAACAACACTTTGTAACTCAAGAGTCAGCTAGTCGGAACAGTAATGCAAGAGTTGATCATCTCTTATCTAATCTTCGACAAGAAAGAGAAAGAGAGAAGAGGCGAGGATAATAATAGAGTTCACCCTTAGTGAATAAGGTGTCATTTTCTGAGGGAGAGAAAGTAGTATATCTTGATTCGATGCAAGCACTGGCAAACGAGTCGATAAGAACGTGTCCAACATGTCATCTCCAACAATAGGATATTTCCAAAGACACATCTGCCAACTGATTACAATTGGATCTTCTTTTCTTTCAGGTTTGACGCGGGCCACGATGGATTCTTGGATTTGCCGGAGCTGAAACGCATGATGGAGGTTTTAGGAGCGCCGCAAACTCACCTCGGTTTGAAGGCAATGATACAGGAAGTGGACGAGGACGGCGACGGACGGATCTCCTTCCGCGAGGTTTGCCATTTCACCCAGTCGATCGCGATCATTTTCGAGTACTTGCAATACACTCCTTCCTCGCTGTATAATAAGATATGTAAATAAAAAGCACGCGGAAGCGACTCTGTTTACGTAACAGGTTCGTTTTCCCGGAAGTCGGCGCACTTTCGAATAAATTGTGAACGCAGATCTCGCTGTTATTGTTACTATCGTAACATAAACCTCAGAATCAGTCTAATTATTATCCTTCGCTTCGTTTGAAATGAACTATTCGCTTCGTTTCAAATTTGATTCTCCAACAAAACTCTGTTACAACAGTGGACATTGTTACGTTTCCAGTTTAACTCAGAGAGTTGTCTCACCCATGCCACGCACCATAAAAATAGTCTCGCCCCATGGGGTGTTTGACATGTTGCTCTTTTCACTGTGGCCACAGTGTTTGCTCTTCACGCGTGGCACATTTGTGAGAGCCAAGCCGTTCGTTCCATTTCAGTGAAATGCTGCTTTTCTTCTTTTCTCACTGAAAACGAAGAAGAAACTTCTTCTGTAAACTGGTTTTTCTTCTCCTTTATTTTATTCTTCTTTCAGTGTCATCAAATCATCAGCTGTAAAACATTATACAAGATAAGATTGTTAATGTATGGAACAATTCTTCTTGGATTTTACAAAATTCACTTTCCAAAATGACTTTCAAGAAGTACCTCTTTACGGATGATCACCTCCTCTATTGCCATATTCTATCAACCGTGCCAACCCAAAAATATTTCAGATTATAAAGCTTAGGTTGGATGAGACTTCTTAGATTCTCGCAACGGCTGAAAAAAAAGAAAAGGAGGAAAAAATCGGAGCGTGCGAAGTAAATATGTTTGCGTGTCGTTAAAGGGAACTTTCGCCAGGTTGTCGCAGCGGGGAACGATAAATCGCGAATGCTGAGGCACGCGTTGCCGTAGGAAGACCCTGTTGTCCGATGCAAATGCACGCACACAAACGTACGTTCCTACGTGACTTCTCGTGGCGTGCAAACGGACAAAGCGTTCGTCGATCCGCGTACACGCGATCGGTTTCATAGATCATCGTGAATCACCCAGCGTCACTGAACTCTGGCGGACCAATCTTCCACCTTCCTTTCTTACTCATCGTTTCCTCGGTGCTGATCGTTTTATACCGAAACGACATGTACTGTGCCGGGGCTGTCGAATGATAGTACCTTCCGGTCGGATGATAACCCATAGTAGAGATGAGCTTACGAAACATTTTAATGTTTTGAATGATCGAAAAACTCTTGAAACTTTCGAAACTCGAAAGGCTGATTTTATTTCAATAGATTTCGGTCCATAATTTTTTTTTTTTATCAAGTTGTTGATCCAAATCCAGTTGATGCTTCCCACTGTAAATATAATATATTACTTAAATTAATTAGATAATATATTACTTGAAATTATTAGTTTTGTATGTATGTAAAAATGTAGACTATGTAGGCGTTTAGGTTCGTTACATTCTGTCAGATTTCATTGAAACACATTAGGAAAATAATTGACGATACCGCTGTAATATTAGCCTGATTTTATCTAATGCAGTTATTTATAACTTGTTACAGTTTCTACTGATCTACCGCAAGGCACGTGCTGGCGAATTGGAACAGGATTCTGGGCTGGGTCAGCTCGCACGTCTTACCGAGGTCGACGTGGACGAAGTAGGAGTGACAGGGGCTAAACACTTTTTCGAGGCCAAGGTACAAATGCTTCCATTATTTTTATTGAAATAAAATGTTTTTCATCGTTGTCGATTCAACTATGCTTCCAACTGTAAACATAATACATTACTTAAATTAATTAATTAGATAATATGTTGCTTAAATTAATTAGTTAGAATAATACATCACTTAAATTAATTAGTCTTGCAAGTGTGTAAAAATATAGGAGTTAGCGCGTAGAAACTCTATGAGAAGAAGAGTCAACGAACTGCCGTAAAATTCTAAATATTTTGAGAAATCCAATCTGATTACTTTTCATATTCTAATAATCCAATAATCGTAACCGAATGATTGACTTTTCATTATTTTTCTTCAAATGAAATTTAAGTTAGAAGAGAAGTTAACGAAGTACCTGTGGATTTTTCTAATAAACCTAATGAACTTGATTCCTCTCCAAACCTCGCCAATGATAGTGGAACAATTGTTCAGCTCCTCGCGAGCTGATTCGCCTAACGAAGGACCACCTGCTCGTTGGATGGTTATACTTGATTTGTTTACTTGGGAAGCCTGATTGCTTCTGATTTTTAGTGGCGACTAATATTTGACTCATTCTGATTGCTAATTAACTGACTCTGAAAAATTATTGAACTCTGATGACTAATTAACAATTGTGATTAATCTCCTGTGATTAATTGTGATTAACCTCTTATCTTACAATATCGAGTCTTACAATATCGTGGTGTAAATTATAATTTCAATATTTTCTGAAAAAGCAAATGCAATTCAATGCGAAATTCCACTTCGAAGTTTGAATTTAATTTCTTGAAATTGAACGTTAACAAGTGTAAATTACAAATAACGTTTCAATCTGAAATACAAAATATCTGTTACAATTGCAATAAGAATTGAAGAGGAAATTGTAAGACAAAGAGTTAAGATCTATTAACAACTGTGAACTAAACTAACTAAGAAAAAAAATAACAATTGGGAACTGACTCTGACTGACTGCTGACTCTGATTAAGAATTTCTGATAACTGAGCTCTCCTTCTCAGAGCTTTCTTCCAGGACTCTGAAGACTTTTTAAGGGAAGTATGAGGAAGGTTTCCATCGCCTTTTGCAAATCATATCGTTCCCTGCATGATATTTTTGATATCCAGTTGATTGTCATTGCTAATAGATCTTGCTATTGTAAAAAACACTCATTGCACTCGAAATCTGACTGAAATTTATAAGAAAGTTATAGACAGTTGTAAGTTATCCAAACGTAACGAAGAATGTGTAAACATCTGTAATCTAACCTTTTGTTTCTCAAGTTCGTGTCATAAGTTAATACGCATTGCCTTTAACAGCAATGATGGAACGAACCAAAGTGATGAAATTAAGGATTGGGAAAATTGGATTCGTTGTGATGTTAATGATGTATCACTTTCAATTTACAGATCGAGCAGCTGCGGAAGTCAAGCAAATTCGAGGATGAGATCCGCATGGAGCAGGAGGAGCGAAAGCGGGAAG